TCCCAAAAAAAACACCCACAACCCCAACAGGCCCACAATCACGCCCCTGATCTCTAGCCCCCTCCTCACCTCCCTCACACCCACATCCCTGCTATCCTCCTAAGCCCCAAGACCCAAACCCGGCGGAACCCCACCCACCCCACCACTCCCCACTAATCCCTGACCCCTCACCTTCCCACCAAAAGGTCGCCCAAAGCCTGGCGGCTGCCCTCGCGGCCGGCTCCATCGCCCTGGGGTTCCTGCCGAAGGTGCTGCCCGCGGCGGCCGAGCTCGCGCCCGCCGCGGCGGTCACAGCATGCGGGGCGCTGTACCTAGTGTTCTCGTCGTCGGGCCGCGTCCTGGAGCGGCTGCGCGCCGCGCGGCGAAGCGTGAGGTGGGCGGGCGGGGCGGTGCGCCCCTGGGTGGCTTCGCCCTGACCCCCGCGGCGCGTGCGACCTGGGGTTTTGATTTCAGGAGGCAGGGCCGCATGTGAGGCGCATGCAGCAGAGTTGCGTTCCACACATGCATGCACGGCTACGTATGCACTCCGCGATGCAATTGCATGCGTGCGTGTGTGCACGGGAGACCATACGGCGTTGCATCCCGCACCCCCAGCCCTGCGGACGGGCATGTTCATGCCTAGGTGCACATGCTCCCGCCACGCGCCACTCGGTTGCATGCTTTGCATCTGTTTGGAACGTCACCACAACACAATTCACATGCACGCATGCGGCCCACCCACGCTGCCTTGCGTTCCACCGCGTATCCGCCCCAGGAGCCGCCCCTTCAACTTTGCCCGCGTGGCGCGGCTGTCGGTGCTGCAGACCAGCGGACAGTCCGCCCTCTCCAACACCCTCAGCTGCGGACTGGTCAACAAAGGCGAGCTCGCCGCCGCGCTGCAGCGGATGCGGCGCCTCGGCGCCGCCGACGCGGCGCGGCTGACGCCGACGGGCGACGCCGGCAAGCGGCTGGCGTCGGCGCTGAGGGGCTGGGCGGGGGAGTTGACGGAGGCGGCCACGGCGCGCGCGGCGGCGCTGGCGGAGGCGGCGGCGGAGGCCGGCGGCGGCGCCGCCGCTCGGCGCAGCGGGAGCGGGCAGGGGCTGGCGCGGACGGGCAGCGGGCAGGGCGCGAGCGGGGC